TACGTTGCGTAATGCTGATCGATTTCCACGTGTCGATTGAACGAGTTGGTCGAAAGCGGCGCTTCAAGGATAGGACGTCCCCCTTCCTCTTTGCCTTTGCCACTGCTTTTTCGTCGTTGATCTCGTGACTTGTCCGTGCTCAGTAGTTCCAGGGGTGTTACACCGGGTCTGCGTGTCTTAGTGCAAATGTGTGCGTGTGTGTGTGTGTGTGTTCGTGTAGGCGAGTGCACAGTTATTTGCGTGTCTCCTATAAATTAAATACGTAACGGTGATCACAGTCTAGGCACGAAACTGCGTACACCACCCCTAATTGGTTGTGTGATTTTCCGTGATCCCCGCTGTTGAACAAAATTGACCGCAGTATTGTAAGTTTGTGGGAAATGGTAACACCCAGTGGACGAAGGATGCGATCGACGGCTTCTGATACCCCACGTGTCTACGAGTTTCGTTTTCTTCACTTCATCTTTCGATTTTCTTTTTTTCACCAAAGTATGATTGGACGAAACATTTTGAGGTATCTATTTGTACGGATTCGATCGAACAGATGCATTCGTTCTTGATGCTGGAGTTTTTTTCTATACTACAATTCGTGTCCGCGCGGTTGAATCAAGTGTACACAAGGATTCTGAGGTAATACGTGGAATGATTGTTGTTGTGATTAAAAGCATTTGATCGGTTGTTCTCGGTTTCCTGTACACAGTGGTTTCTGTGTCTCCGTCTGGTTTTCCATTGATGAGGAAGTCCAAGAAAGGGAGCTCTATATCGTTTTCCTCCTCGTGGGTAGATGCTATCCGTGCTATAAACTTGTTTAGATCATCATAGAATTGTTCAATTCTAGCTTCTGGTAGCACCACCTACCGGATTCAGAGACGAGGGCGGTATTCCTCAAATGTATTGGTTTCCAATTGTTTCATCACCGCATCAGCTAGTAGGTCAGATATTGATGATCCTATTGGGATACGTTTTACCTGTAGATATACCCTCCTGTCAAACTGTAGATATTTCCATGGAACCATAGGCTCTAATCCGACCCGACCCAAGGTAAGACGATACAGCTGTTTTAGGATCGACTCATACTTCTCAGATACTCCAGTCCTCAACCAACCGTTCCACAATGTAGAGTCAAACGACGCGCGGATGTCTAAGCACACGGGGAACGGTTGACCTCTACTCTACCTAATATTTCAGTTCATTTCTTCACATCGCGTGTACAGCTCATCTGTCGACCGCCAACCCGGAGTGGCAACTACAAAACCCTACTCTGTGTGTGATAAACGACTTCCGGGAATACGCACCAAGTGTCCTAGCTTAGACATGTGAATTCTCTGTGTTATACAGTTTCATCCGTATACAGTGCCATGTACACAACTGTTCTATCTCAGTGTCATCAAACTACTCCAACGTAAAGGGGAAGAGAGCGCACAACAATAGCAAAGCCGAGATGTACAATTGCATGCCCAGGGCAAATTTCGCTGCATCTCAACTGGTTCGAAATACGGCAGCAGAAAACCACAGTTTATATATTTTTGAACAGTACATGAGGTTACACACACGAATACAATAGGGACGAATCATCACACTTTTACCAGTGCCAAAGCAGTGACAGTGTGTGACTGACAGTTAATTTTGCATACACACGGACCAGGTGTTCATTTCCTGATTGTCAGCGACTCGGGAAACCTAAGCACCCCCGGGGGGTGGGGTTAGAATAAGAGACCTTGAATTGACTTGTCGGGTCCAAACTATGATTTGTTATCAACAAAGTTCGAGCGATAGATGACGCAGCAGGCTGTTTGTGTGTGTTCGGTGTCCTTTCATCGTGTGATTCGGTCAATCGGAGTCTAACCCAACATGGAATGTGTTCCTGGATCCGTGTACGCAACTGTCTTCTTCATCCAAATGGGCAACTAAAAGACAGCAACCAAAACCGGCGCACGATAGTGCATGATTAATGGTTGTACAAACTGAAACTGTACGCAACTGCCTGTCTATTCCGCCAATGTAAGATGCTCCGCATCCACATTCAAACTGGTAAATTAAGTGTGGTTTCGGAGACAGTGTTTGCTTTGTGGGGACGCGTGCGGTTGTGTGTGTCATCTATCGCTCGACATTTGTTGATGAACGATTAAAAGCTGTTATTTTTCTGCTGTATTTTACCAGTTGAGATGTAGCGAAATCTGCCCTGCACATGCAATTGTGCATCTCGGCTTTGTTGTGCTCTCTCTCTCTCCCTCCAAGTTTATCTCGGGAAATAAATGTTTCATTACTCCAACAATCAACCGGTGACTTCAATAAGCGAATTAAAGTTCACAGAACAGTGAAGCAGAACAGATCGTACAGTGATACAACTGAATGTCACACCAACACTATAGAGGTTCCTTCATTTTTGCCTCTGCTGTTCACTCCTCGGTTCTACGCGTACATCACCTATTGTCCTCACGGTTCACACACGCACGAGATGAAAGGGACCGCAATGTCAAATGTAATACGAACGTACTCCGAGCTCTTACTGCAAGACAGCGGAGTTGACACGACCGCGCAACCGGTTGCCCCGCTCCGCATTTATTCCTGCAACTTGAGAGACGACAGAAGACCGAGTGTGGGCATCAGGTGGGGGGGGGGCGGGCTGGTGGGAGCACGGACCACATTGGATTACGATGAGTTCATTCGTTCCTCCGCATTCGATTTGGGCTTCAGATCTTCTTGATGTTGAATAAATTCCAGAAATAGATTTCCCCGAATACACTCCTCATCTGTTTCGTGTCATTCCACGTTCCATTTCATCGCTCCTTTGCGTCCGCTTGTTTCTCTCTCACACACACACTGACCAAACCACACTCTCGTGTCCCCTTCAACTCGCTGCAGATACAATCACCTCGAATGCATCCCGGCCTCGTTAGCACGGTGCAACAATTTGTTGGAACTGAACATTGAGGGTAACAATATTTGGCAGCTCCCGGTAAGTGATTTCCCCATTATTCTGTATCGGACGTGTAACCATGTATTCCACCATCTGCCAATAATTCTTCCGGAATGCTTTCCAGTGTAATCATACTGCACGGATCCCTAATGGTGGTTTTCTTAGTGAACCTAATATGATCGTTTAAATCCGACTCTCTCTGAACCCCTATCATGAACTCATCAGTGTCAGCAGCACCATCATCTCTTTTGTATTGTTCAATTTTTGCGATCGACCGCTTGCGTTCATGATCTGAATCCAAGTGAAGGTCTCCGCTAATGGTCACTCACAGCAAGCCATCTGAGGTCGTTAGCAGAGGCGGTGAATCTCTTCCATCTGGGCCAGTTGTTCTCTTGTGAATTAACTCGGTTAACTTTATATATATATATATATATATATATATATATATATATTGCAAAAGTGAATTCGTCGTGGATATAGCAAATGAAGCCTGCACTGAAAAGCTAGGAAGTACTGGACAGCTGTTTCGACCTAGTTGGGTCTCATCAGCAGTGCGAATCTATCGACCCCACTGGAGGTCGAACCCGGGGCAGAACGCAAGCATGCCAACTACCCACTACACCACCAGGCATATATATGATGCATTGCAAACCTCATTAGCAGCTCGGCGAGGGGATTTGAGACGAACAAGTCTTAGAAGAATCATTGTGATGATTCTGTATCATTTGTTTTGGGTTCCGTACTTCTAACCCCAATCCAGCTGGACGTTAGAACCGCTTTTCAGTTTTTATGAGAATTATATGCATCGAACACAATACCTAATACAGACTGATCGCAATGATTTATCGAGACTTGTTTCTCTCGCCCACACACAATCTACTCGCCGAAATACAAATTCGGTTAACATTGCATAATTCACATCGCGCGTTCAAGTATAAGAACGACCAAATAGAGGATTTTCTGACGAGCGCAAAGGACCACGAAACCGATCACGTGCTTCTGGGAGTTTTTTTTCGTATACTATTCATCATCTACAGCTTGTGGATGAAACACTGTCAGGTTGCTTAGGTCGAACAACTTGAAGTTAACGTTTCAAGCGATTTCAAAAGTCCATACCGAGACACTCAGTATTCGCTTTGCCCTGGGTTTTGTTCTGATCCTTTTCACATTTGGCCGTTTTTTTTGCACGATTTGCATTCAATTTTTAAAATCATGTTCATCATCCGTGTCAATGACATTTGCTCCTTTCATTTGTTCAGGATGGTCTTTTGGCACATTTGAAAAAGTTGGCCAGTGTGGCTCTATCTCGAAACTATTTCAATTCCTTTCCCCTTGGTGGCCCGCAGCAGTTCACTTCTGTCCAAGTAAGCGGGAACATTCCACGCGTTCTTTATCCGTCTGCTTGCATTTGGGTTCCCTCAAAATTTCCACCGTTTTAGTAGTTCCGTTTTTCGTAGCTCGTGATATTCACATTCCAGGAGTTTTTATTTTGTGTGTACGAAAATATCAAATTTGTCTACCATTGGTTTTTCCATTTCCGTTGACAACTCTCTTCTGATCGGTATTGTTTGCCATAGTCCTGTCAGGGCCGGTTGTGTGTGTGTGTGTCACGTGGTTTGTGTTCATCTCGTTTCCTTTTTTCGAGCCTCCTATTTCTGTAGTTACTTTATTTGAACCATTCATCCTCCCTTTTTTATTACACACCGGTGTGGTGAGCAGCAGACGGGGTGGAACCCCATAGTCACGAAAATCTGCTGTTCAGTGGTGGTGACTGGGACTTGCAGTGGCGAACCACATAAGGCCCCACTAGGTCAGGTGTAATGTTGACCCGGATGACAGCAAAGCTGTCTACCACCAAAGTTGGGTGGCGATGGTGGGGCTTGAACCTCGGACCACGGGGTCTAAAGCACGCTGGTGACAGCGATCAGACCACTGCACCACCACCACCGTGGGAATAGGTCAGTCTCCTGTTCATCTTTTGTTATGTCTTGTGTCAAGACGATATAATCGATACGTGCTTCTCTTTGTCTAGACCCCAACAACTGGAGAAAGAACACTGTTGAGAAACGAAAATCAGCGTGTATTCTTGATCATGAAACAACAAGCAAATACATGTGGTCAGTTGGGCGTATGCGAGCAGACGTGGTGACGTGTCAATCAGATCGTTACCTTGACACTCAGGTTGATTTGCCTTAGTCATCCAATCAGGAGTCGATTCAGCTTGAGCGTCACGAGCACACTTGTGGTGTGACGTGGGTCTCTGCGTGGCAGGACGAATTTCGTGCGCTCCGTCCTAACACCTTTGTTGATGATCACCCATTCACTCGCTCACTGATTCGCAGATGTCTGGGGCGGTTTCTGTACGGATTGTGATTGAAGCCTGGCAGTACTCACAAGTCCAAACCCTCCATGTCGCCTCAAAATTCAGCCGTTGCGATAAATCTTTGTGTTTTGCGAATCGAAGAAACTCTAAAATCAACTAGGGGCATGGTCCAAATACCATGAGCAGTGTCACTGGCACCAGTGACCTCTTAGTTTGATTTTCACGGTAAACTTTGAATCTATGCGAGATTTTTGTTCCTCCGGTCCCGTCGTCTTTAGTCTTCCCGTAGATCACGTTATATTGGTTTACGTCATCATCATCGTGCAGCGAAATACAGTGAGAAGCGAACTTTACTGATCGCTGCCAAACTCGCAACGCATATGCATTGTGGTTTGATGGACGGGTACTGCTAGGGTGTCCAACCACTAAGCAGGAGAACGATTAGGGTACTCAACCAAGGCCTTTAGTTCTAACAAGAACCTAGCCGCAAGGCAGCGGTTGAAGCGAAGTAGAGGCCCATTTACTTGGATCAATTACTCCTTCATCATTTTTCACCAACTGAGAAGCAAATTCTAGTCGAACTGCCAACCTCGAGGACCAGAAAACTGGACGTCGTCCGACCTCTACCCAGGCGTGATTGGATCTTCGGCTTAATAAAAGCCATCCTGTGTAGCTCGTTGGGTCAGAGAGGTGCACAAGCCATCACACCACGTCAAGGTGCAGTCTCATGATGGTGGTTTACGTTCTCCCACATGGCTTTCATGTGAATGCCGGTTTTCGCGCCTGAAGAGAATGGGGTATTGTTGCTTCTGGTTATTGTGGTTAACTTTATAATCATGAGTCATATTGATTGTCTCTTCACTAGAGATCACTCAACAAACAACCATTTTTCTTTGTGGTGAAGCAATGCTTTTCTTGGTATTATAAATCTAACTGAGTATACGATTTTCGGTATACACATACACACCAGACGAAGCAACATTTCCGGATGATGTGGCTTCAATTGAGAGTCACCGAATAGTTAGTTTCTCTGTTCAGTTCTATGCATTGACACTTCATGGATTCAGTTATTTAAAAAAAATCCTGTGAATGTCCTTACCGTAATGAAAAGAAAAACCAATCGTCATCCTCATTGTTACTAGCGAAATCGGTAAAAGTGGAACAGCAGTTGGGTGGTGGTGGCTCTGTGGTTTAGTCGCTGTCACCGGCGTGCTTTAGACCCTATGATCCGAGGTTCGAGCCCCGCCACCGCTACCCGACTTTGGTGGTAGGCAGCTCTGCTGTCGTCCGGTTGAATAGCACGCTTAACCTAGTGGGGTCTTATGTGGTTCGCCACTCCGAGTTCCGGGGCTTAGGTTGCCGATTTCAATCACTGAACAGCAGGTCCTCGTGACTATGGGGTTTACCCCGTCTGCTGTTGATCACACCGAGGTGTGTAATAAAAAAAAGTCCTCGTTGCTCATATGCTACTCTATTGCTGATCGTTCCCTGAACTGCGGTGGCGGTTTCAATGTGTCGGTTTAACGAGAAACAAATGGTCCCAGTTCGAATGCGGATAAAATTAATGTACTTTAATTAATCCACTGTATGTGACGAAAAATAGAACAGGATGGAAATAGAAACTATGTTTCACACACTTCCACTTCCAGACTATAGGCCAAACAAATCATAGTACAAGCATTATAAAAAGGAGATTAAGTTTCATGATTTGCAATTAGGCGGAATACTGGCAGATTGCTTAGGTCAGGACAAGAAGTTTACAACCGGAGCCTTTGACTAACCAAAGCCTGACCCGCAAGGCGGTGTGCGAAAATCACAATCCATTGGGAACCAGTTCGTCGAATCATACGCCCTTTGGACGGGGCAAACGCCTAATGGAGGTGCCCAATCGAGCCGATGATCATTGTCACAACCAGGAAGCTGTGGGTGGGTATATGGTTCGCGGTCGGTTTGAAAGCACGGTTTTTAGCCAGCTCTCTTAGGTGAACTGCCAGTTGTTTACCAACCCTGTTGTTGATGTTGAATTTTCGTTCTCTCACTTTGTTGGTGGGTAAACACCTCCACGCCACGCCACGGGAAGACAGTGAGAAAGACTTCCCCGGCAAAGACTGTTCGTCGTATAGGAACATTTCGCGAGGTTCAAGGGGACGGTGACCAGCCACAACTCGAGATATCCAGCCCCGACTATACTGACACTTTCGGAGACAGCATTGTTTATTCGCAAAAAAAGAGAAATGGAATCAGGTCTATGAGAATTCTGAAGTAGTTTATCTTAATCCCTCGCGGGGTTGTTCTTTTGCCATGATGTCCTTATCGAATGTCTGTACACTGCTACTTTCTCAATCGGTCTCTTTCGGGATTGCTTGAATAACCACACTGCACTTCCCGGCTCCGCAACCAAATATTCCAAACTACGTTTCCATCCCTTCAAATCTTCAATCTGACTCTTTAGACAGGTCTGTGTTTGTTATCACCCTTCGATCTCTCCCGCCCACTCGGGTCTGTGTGTATTCAAACCAATCATAAAAACCCCGTGTGTGAACTATGTTGGGTATTGTTTTTATCGTAACATTTCAATGATTTTAATGTACTTGTTGGAAGTATTTTTTTTTCTGTTATAAAAGTTCGTGAGTTATCGTTTGATGACACGTTCAAGCTTAAAAATATTGATGCTCTCCCCCAATGCCTAACACTCAAACTTGCGATCTCCAGCATTACGCTTGATTGCTCCCCCCAAACATTGTCAACACATGAATACTTTGCCTGTTGACTTCATTTTCAGGACGAGCAATTTGATGTACACGACCAGTTTATTGACAATCCTTTCTGCTCACAATGAGGTTCTCTATCTACTTCCCACACTTGGCCCTTGCCTGATTCAGGTTTTCCTCTCACGAACTCATTCACCGGTTGTGTAACAGTCCTCATCCCTCCCTCTCTCTCTCTTTGCTTTTCCGTCCTTTTTTTAGTACAGTCGACTTCCCGTTCCACTGTAATTTGTGGATCATGCTGAGAATTCCACCCTCCTCCGGGAGTTCCAAATGTTTTCTTGACTTGATTTCTTTATGTACTATCCAACTTGCAGATTCGCTTGCAAAATTCACCTCCTAATCTGTGATCTATCTGGTTCCTGTAGACGTAATCTTGAACTATAGAGCTTACTGAATTTCTAACTGTCCTCATTGGATGCTTGATTCAGCAGGTGAAGAACTTTGTTGTTGTTGTTTTTTAAGGCCCTTTTAACGACTTATTTATCCGCGTTTTGCGTTGCAGAATACAGAACCTTCACCCTAGATACCAAATATGATGTATTTTCATGGAGAATTCCTGATTATCGAAATCCTCGATATTGATGATAACTCGGACACTTGATATGAATCTCATCTTACCTTTGACTTAAACACACACACCCTTCACTACATTTTGTTGCTACCCAACAAATCGGTGGCTCCTCTCCGCGTGTGTTTTTTCTCAATTGGTGAGTTGAGGTGCACCGGACACTTTGTGCAGGCTCCAGTATAGGTATTTTCCACGTTAATGGTTCCCGTTGTTCAACAATACAGTCAGTCACTTACCGCATGGATGATCCCAACATGATAGTTTATTCCGAGGCAAATCTAAACTGGCCACTATCGGTTTTGTGTGCCGGCTTCTCCGTTAACCATCTAGTAATTTCCAATTAGTAACTACCTTGTCCTCCCCATCCGCGGTGCTTATCTTTTCAGTCCCTCAACATGGATCACAATCAGATCACCAAAATCCCCTTCGGTATTTTCTCACGCGCTTCCCATTTGGCCAAATTGAATATGCGAGACAACCAGTTAGCCTCGCTACCCCCCGGTAAGTCACATGTGTACACACGAATGACTTTCACATTCTTTGCTTCCTTGCTTATCCGATTTCGTTGACTGCATTTTGTGTTCCCCCAATCGGCAGTGGTTTGGAGAATCGCGAACATGCTGGGAAAAAGGATCGCTAGATCGATTTCAATCCGATATATATATATATATATATGCAAACAGGATGCATTTCTTAAGGTATGATTCTCCAAATGGGTACCTAAGACATTTGGGCACGGCATAGTTCGCGGCAGCTCATACCGATGAAGGGGTTTTTCCTTGGGAACCCGAACCGGAGCCTTCGACTCAAAAGTCTGACCCACAAGGCAGTGGGGCGTAAATCCAACGCGGGAGCGTGAATAAGCACCCGTGTGGAAGCTTCAATGGTGACTTGTCACGCAAAGTCTTTGAATTTCGATTAATTGTGTTGTTCCCTGGTGCGTTGATTGTCGGTTCGCTTTTCGGGATCGGCCCTTAGCCTCATGCAACCAATGAGACAAGCGGAACGTGTACGGGACAGCACCTTATTGGCTGGGGCCTGCCCAGCTTTGGCGGGCGGTAGCGGTCCAATGAAGTGCGAAGACTTCTCTCACCGTCAAGAGGAAGCCCCAAGTACCCCGCTCCTACGTCCATCTAGCGGGGATTTTTGACCGGTAAACTGCCTCTCGCCGTGTTTATTTACTGGAGTGACCTCTCCTGGATATATATATGCTCAAATGGGCTAATCTAAGCTTGACACTCCATGCTACTTCGCTTGTTCGCCGAGCTTGGCAGTTTGTTTGCAAACGTTTCATCACACCAGCCGAGGTGACATCATCAGTGCTTGTGAA